CAATAAGCTCTGATCTGGGCTTGTTCTCTGAGTTGCCCACGTGGGTTGGGTTTCTTTCTCCCTCCCACATCCGAGAGGAGGTTGAAACGCAAGAAGCAACTGAAATCTCATCATCTGGCCCCTGTGAGATCTTGCTATCCTCAGCCCACCACCAGAAAGGTTCCAGAAAAGGAACAATAGAAACAGGAGCAAGTTGGGCCGTGTCCTGGCACCCAATGTCGAGTTAAGGGGTCTCGGGCTAAAAAAGCAATGTTCATAAATGGAAGTACAAGGTAGCAAGGGTGCCGGAGGGTTGGAGAATTTTCTTCCCTTTTCGTAGAGTTCCTAAGTAGGGTCTTGGTGATGACCATTTAGGAGACCTGCTCTGGGTGACAGCAATTGTGTAAGAGCTTTTCGGAGCCCTCTCCTTGGGAGCTGCAGGGTGAACTTGACAGATGAGTGCTTCAGCTGATTCTCATTTATCTTTCCAAAGGCCTGACCAGTGAAGTTAGCTCCAATTTCTTTTCTTTTTTTTTTTTTTTTTATACCAGGGATTGAACCCAGGGGCACTTAACCACTGAGCCACATCCCCAGCCCTTTTAAAAATATATTTTATTTAGAGACAGGGTCTTGCTGAGTTGCTTAAGGCCTCGCTAAGTTGCCGAGGCTGGTTTTGAACTTGTGATCTTCCTGCCTCAGGTTCCCAAGCCCCTGGGATTATAGGCATGAGCCATTGCATCTGGCAAATTAGCCCCAATTTCTAGGGGTTCTGCCTCTCCAGCTCCTTCATGTGCTCATCTTAGTGGTAAGTACCTCTTCACTGTGGGTTCTTCAAAAGCTAACAGGGATAGGTTCAAACCACCTTCTCATGGCTGGGGTCTCCTGTGAGCCAGGCACTGAGCCATAGACACCCAGGTCATAAGAAAGAGTCCTAAATTAGCATTTATTGAGTACTTACTATGTCCGAGGAATATACTTAGTGTTTGTGAATTTAATAAGCTTCTTAATCTCTTAAACAACTAAACAGTAAGCTGGGGTTAGAATGGACTCATTCTAATATATGGGTTTCCCATGGTGCGTGCCTGCAGCTGAGCCTGCTGTCTTGGAAGACAACCCTCCTCACCCTCATACACACTCAGTCCCAGTTTCCTTGCTTTGTATAAGGAAGTGACTTCTCCTAAAATTAACTCATGAAGCTGGTGGATGCCCATGTCCATTCATTCTTAACAGTATTTCCCAAGCATCTACTGTACTCTAGAGTCAGCTCTGGGCATGGAGATTGAGTGGTGAAGAAGACAAAGAAAGCCCGTGTTTTCAGGATGCTTCCACTCTAGTGGTAAGGTCATGCCAGAACTGAGAGAATGAATGAATGTCTCATGTCATTACCATGGAGAGGTTAAATCAGGCAAGGAGAATGTGTGTGTTTTGTTTTTGGTACTGGGGATTGAACTCAGGGGTACTGGACCACTGGTCTCACTGACTTAGCACCTCGTAAATTGTGAGCCTGACTTTGAACTCGCGATCCTCCTGTCTCAGCCTCCCAAGCCGCTGGGATTACAGGCACGTGTGCCACCGTACCCTGCAAGGATGTGTTTTAAGACCAATTGGTCTTTTATTCTTTTTGGTAGGGGGAATTGAACCTAGGGACACTTAACCACTAAGCTACATCCCCGACCCTTTTTAAATTTTATTTAGAGACAGAGTCTTGTTCAGTTGCTTAGGGCCTCGCTAAGGACCAAATGGGAGGTGGAAGGAAAAGCCAGTGCAGGAGCATTGGGACTGGTCCCAGATGGAGGGAAGCTGATATGGGGTCTAGTTAGTAGGCGTGGCCAGGTGTGGGGGTGTCTTGTGGGCCACAGTGAGACGTTTTTCTTGAGTCACAGTCTTTGATGGTCATCACTCACCGAGAGAGTGTGCCTATCTCAGTTCCTCCTTGGATACCAGGACTTAGAAGGTCCGTGGAGTTGGAAGAAGTTGCACTGGTGACAGCTGAACGAAAGGGACATTATGGATCACGCTGGAGGAGTCGGGCTCTGAGCTTGGTTCCCTTCAGTCCCTCATACCGCCCTGCCCGCCTCTCTCCCAAGCTTGCCAATCTCTCTGCTCAAGGGCCTTCTGTGATTGGCTGCCTGCAGTGGGGGCGTTAACTCCCCTGGACCAATGGCCATCAGAGAGTTCATGGGAAAATACCGCACTTCCTTGCTCCTGTGATTGGCTGCCTGCAGTGGGGGCGTTAACTCCCCTGGACCAATGGCCATCAGAGAGTTCATGGGAAAATACCGTACTTCCTTGGCTCTAGTTCCATTTAGGAAGTTCCATTTAGGAAGTCCCAGCGAGGTTGCGCTCTAGCTGCCCACGGTGGTGACCAGTGCACACACTCACTGTGGCTGGCTGTTCTCCTTTCTGTACCTCATTTCCTCCTTTCTCAACTGGTACTTCCTGGGATCACCTCCCAAATGACACCCAAACCCATGTCTCGGACTGCGTTTTGGGAAACCCAAATGAAGGCACTTGCTCTGACTGAGGAGCAGGAAGCCGTTCTTGTCCAAGTGACTTCATGCACCAGTTCTCAGGACATCTTGTAGCTAGAAGATGGAGCACGAGTTAGAGAAAGAAGCAGAAATGGCAGTTGCGAGAACCCCAGGCCAACACAGCCCTACCAGAGGCACAGCACCATTCCATCCCGTTCGAAGGCCACAGCAGTCTTTGGGAACATGGATACAAAGAAGAGAGAAAATGGTTTGCAGAAAAAAATGGGACATAATGGCAGCTCCACAAGGGCTGAGACTTGCTCTGTTTGGATCACAGATGTGAAGCCAGGCCTGGCATCTAGTAGGTGCTCAATAATATTGGTGAATGAATGAAATGAACCAAGAAAAATGGTCAAATCCCATGGGGTCTTGTAGAATGAGAAACTGTGGATGAACTTGCCCAGTCAATTTGCCTTTGGATTCTGTGAGGTACTCAGCAACCTTTGGGTCATCTTTATCCATTTTCCCACCCCTGTGACACAAGCTAGTTTGCCACATGCAACCTAAACAACTTTTACTCAGACAATGGTATAACATTGAAGTCTGTTCCAACCACAGCCATTTCCTTGTCTTCCTGGGTTTCTAGCTAGATTGCATTTCCGAACCTTCCTTGAAGTTAGGTTCAGGCCATGTGACTGAGTTCTAGCCTATGGAAAGTGGTAGAGTGATGTGCCCGAATCAAAAAATTCTCCCACTCTGGTTCTGGTTCCTCCATTTACTCTTCCTGTTCATCTCTGACCTTGAAAGCCACCTACTGAAGTTGATAATATGGAGAAAGAGGCAGACCAATATGAGATGGAAGAAGCCTGGATCCCTGAATCACCCTGTGGATCACTGTCCCAGGGATGCCTAACAACTGGATTGTGAAGTGAGCAAGAAATAAGCCTTTTTGCACATTCCACGAAGTCATGGAGATCTGAGGAACGTTCTTCACAGCTCCTTGTCTGTTCTGACTGACCTGAAGGACCTCTTGATACCAGGCAGGCTTGTTGACAAGAAAAGCAGTGGGAAGATTCCCTGGGCCACAGAGCAGCCTCTGTCCCTGAAGCATCTTTGAGGAATTGTTGGTGATGCTGATGGAAAATAGAACCCTCCACTCATCACCCCATAGCACTTATAGGATTTCTCAAGGAGCCTTTGGAAATAAAAACAAGCAAACATTTTGCCACAGGCTTCGGCTGACCAGTTACAGAGAATTCAGTGTGAACATGGGCCCCTGGAAATGGGCAGCTGTGGGTGCTCTGATTCCTCCACTCCGCATCAAATGGTGATTTTTTGGGAGGGGGTACCAAGGATTGAATTCAAGGTCACTCGACCACTGAGCCACATCCCCAGCTCTATTTTGTATTTTATTTAGAGACAGGGTCTCACTGAGTTGCTTAGTGCCTCGCTTTTGCGGAGGCTGGCTTTGAACTCGCGGTCCTCCTGCCTCAGCCTTCAGAGCCACTGGGATTGCAGGCCTGTGCCACTGCTGCCAGCTCAAATGGTGATTTAAATAGGGAAGAACTTGCAGTTTTATTTTTCACTGGTTCTTGGCGTGACCCAGATGGTGACGGTGCCAAATTCTTACATTATTTATGAGGCTGTGCAATGTCAGGGTAAGGACTGGTCCAGTGGTTCACAGCCCTGGATCCTAGTCCCAGGTCTGTGCCATGTGGGAAGGTCGTGTTCCCCCTCTCAGCCAGTTTTCTGGTTTGTGAAATGAACGTGGGGCTGGGGGTGTGCGTGGAAGAGATGATTCTTTTTGAGCTGCGTCCCTGCGATCCTGAGCTAACAGCCTGTCGCCAGTACCTGCACACCTCCCCGAAGGAGGGTCTGTGTGTTTTGAAAATGAAATGGAAACAGAGAGGCTCAGGGGATGTAGCCTCTGCTGCAGGTTGAAATCTCCAGGTCGTCTTTGTCCTCTGCCCTGGAGCTGAGAACAGCCCCAGCCAAGCCTGCCTTTCAGGTTCCTGGGGAACAGCTACTGGGTGGAAGGGACAGCGTTGCCATAGGAGAAAGAAGAAGGCTGCAGCGAAACATGGCACTGTGACCCAGACTGACCATCACTGCGGAAGGCCAAACCCGGGAGGCCTGGCACGGGGCCAGAGCTGTCACCGTCTGGGCATCTGAGCCCAGGGAGCCCCCGAGGTCAGCTGTCTCCCCAGAGTGGAGGGCGGCCAATTCTCACTGTCTCAACTGCCAGCTGCCGCCAAATCACAGCAAAGAAGACAAGGTACCAAAGGCCACCCGCGCTACCCACACGGGCTTTTCTGCCTGAAGCCGAGGCCAGGCAGAGTCCTGGCACTCAGAACTTGCTAGAAGCAAACCTTGGCAGGGGCTTTTAAGCATTCATGGGCCATGTACCCCTTTGGCATCTGGTGAAGCCCGGGACCCCTTCTCAGACTAATGTATTTACGTGCATAAAATAGGATTACAGAGGAAACCAATTATATCCAAATGCAGTTATCCAAATATTAAAAAACAACTTTGTGTGGCAGTAATATATGTGCTTCTTTATTAATGCGTTAAATAACAAGATTTAGTGGCAGATCTAATAACTACCATCATTTCGTACTAGTGAAGGGGTGGAAGCAATCTTTGGAAGATAGTGGTAAGAGCTATCATGGGCTTTGAAGATAGCTATAGTTTCTACTGGTGACAGTCAGAGGTGGCACTGATGTTACTATGGTATGTAATGGAAGGAAGTGCTTGTCTTCATTTAGAGGTTGGTGACACTGAAGATGTAACCCCGCTCTCATCCAAGTTCATTAGACCCTTGAATACTACTTAAGACCCCTTGGCCTGGTAGGGGATGGCTGCTAGGGGGCAGGGATATGGTGGGGTATGGCTGGGGACAGAGAAGGGGAGCAGTTCTTGCCTCATCTGTCAGGTGGGACAAGTGGAGGTTGGCTAATCAGAGCAAAGCGCTCTCTCCAGGCCACCTCGTGCCCTGGGTAAGAGTGGCTAATTGATTGTGGCCAGAGCCCAGAGACATACAGAAAACTGCCCAGCCCGGCGCTTCTGGCAGCTATCACTCACCAATTGGAGCTGGCACCAAAATGAAACCCATTTGCCATTCTGGTGCTGGAAGCTGTCTCAGGCCCTTTTCTACTCTGACATGATATGATTATCCACCATGGAAATATGCTTCCTGCCCTCAAGGAACTTCTGAACGGGTGAGCATCTTAAGGGTCGGTGGGGAGGGAGGGGGCTGAGTGCGCACAGTTCGTCGCCAGGCAGGCAGACATGTCACAGTCAAGGGCATCGATTTTACTTTTCGACTTGTAATTTCCACCTCCTGGATTCTATTATCACTCGTTCAATAGCTGACGACGGTTCGCCATTTCTCTGGAGCGGTGGCCAAGACGCACGCCCTGCTCAGCATAAGAAGAAGCTGTTACGTAAATCGGGTTAGTACCTGGAAGCAATGATTGGCTTTAACATAGTCAAGACCCCAGTGGTTCTGGAGAGAGGCCATCATTCCACCGTCCTCCTTCCCAGACATGGGGACTTCCCAGAAGGGAATCCCAATTAGCCCCATGTGCTCAAGCCCCGAATCCAGCCCATCCCAGTCCCTCCTGCCCAAGCCCCTTCCCTGGTATGCGAAGTGCCCACGATGCCTGCCATAAGTTTTAGATATCTGGCCATTGACAGATTCTTTGGCAAAGACCCAAATCTGTCATCCATAACTGGAAGTATTACTTCATTAACACAACGAGGATGGAAGATGGAGGGGCAAATTTGGGGCCAGAGGTTCTCAGCATGCAGACCCCTGTCCCTTAGCATCAGCATCACCTGGATTCCTTGTTAGAGAAACTCCTTTGTGGCCCCAGTGAATCAGAACCTATGCAGTGTGGGGAGGTTCTTCGTGTGTGTGTGTGTTGCTCAGGACTGAACCTGAAGCCTTGTGCATGCTAGGCAAGCACTTTATCTCTGAGCCACGCCCCTCCCCTCAGTTCTTATTCCAGGTTTGCTGTTCTCTTTTTTAAACTTTTTGGTACCAGGGATTGAACCCAGGACTGCTTAATCTCTGAGCCTCATCCCCAGCCCTTTTTACTTTGTATTCAGAGACAGGGTCTCACTAGGTTGCTTACAGCCTTGCTAAATTTCTGAGGCTGGCTTTGGACCCATGATCCTCCTGCCTCATCCTCCTGAGCCAGTGGGATTACAGACGTGCGCCAGTGGGCTCAGCTTTACTCCAAGGTTTTAATAAACCCTACAGGGAATTTTGATGCGCTAAAGATCCACAACATCAACTGTGCACAGTGGAGCCTGCCTGTAATCCCAGTGGCTCAGGAGGCTGAAGCAGGAGGATCCTGAGGTCAGAGCCAGCCTCAGCAACAGCAAGGTGCTAAGCAACTCAGTGAGACCCTGTCTCTAAATGAAATACAAAATAGGGCTGGGGATGGGGCTCAGTGGTCGAGTGCCCCTGAGTTCAATCCCTAGTGCCAAAAAAAAAAAAAAAAAAAAGATTCACAATCACTGTTTCAGGCTAAGACACAGAACCTTTGGCTTGATCATACCTGTACCTAGGTGTTCACCATTTTGGGGGCCTCAACTGCTTCCTCCACAAAATGGGAGTGGTAATTAATGCCCGCCACCCTGGCTTCACCATAGCATTGACTGAATCAGTGATCGTGGGAACAGTTGGCAAAGGAGGTCGCAAGGTCAACCATGAGTAGTCCCTAGCCATTGCATTGCAATTGCAGGATGTTTGTGGCTGGTGGGGGACAGTTAGGAAAGAAGGGGAGATTGCATTTTAAGATCTGGGACTTGAACTTGGTCCTGTTTGGACATAGTTTTCCATAGCATGAAGATTCTGGCTCAGTCTTGGCTGTGTCTTCCTGCAGGGCTTGTCCAACTGAGGATTGCCCCCCCTCTCTATCCCCACTGACTGGCTTTCTGTGGATTTGACTCTCCCACCTGAAAGTCACAGGCATTTAGGGGGATGTGGTGGCACACAACTGAAATCCCAGTGACTCTGGAGGCTGAAGCGAGAAAATCACAAGTTCGAGGCCAGCCTCAGTAATTTAGCATGACTCTCAGAAACTTAGCAAGATCCTGTCTCAAAATAAGAAATAAAAAGGGCTGGGGATGTGGCTCAGCGGTTAAGCACCCCTGGGCTTAATTCCTCCTACAAAAAAAAAGTCACAGGCAATAGGCGTTTGAATACTGCCCCCCTCCAACCCTTTCTCCAGTGACTGAGTGTTAGCAAAATTTCTAATTCCAGGTCAATTAAAATTCCTGGATCTCAGGCTTGGGGTTGGGGGGTGGTGGGGGTGTGGGGAGGAGTGGGGGAAGGGATAACAGGGTAGTGGTCCTGGCAGTGAAGGCCAATTGCCAAAACAAGCAGGGCTGTTTTCATCCCTAACTGCCCCCTGGGTGCGTAGAAACAAAGATCACAATGGTTCGGAGGCCCCTGGCAGGTAGGCAGGCACATTCCATGCCTTCTCAGTTTAGCGGGCCAGGAGGTCTGATAACCTGAGCTCAAAGCAAGCCGGGGGCAAAGTCCAGGAGCCCAGCTGGCTGGTCCTGTCTCTAGTCCTCTTTGGCATGATCAGAAAGTGCCCACTTTGCCCATGGCACACACCTGTAATTCCAGTGGCTCTGGAGGCCGAGGCAGGAGGATCACAAGTTTGAGGCCAACCTCGATTGGCAATTTAGCAAGGCCCTAAGCAATTCAGTGAGACCCTGTCTCAAACATAAAAAATAAGAAGGGCTGGGGATGTAGCTTAGTGGTTAAGCACCCCTGGGTTCAATCCCCAGCACCAACAAATAAACAAAAGTGCTCACATAACCCTCTCACTTCACCACAGCCTAACTTAGATAAACTTAGAGTACCAATTAATCTTCTCAATAAGCCTACCAATCAGGGACTAATATAATTCCCATTTTACAGATAGTGAAATTGAGGCACAGAGAATTAAGCCAATTGCCCATACTACAGAGCTGGAGTTTAAACCTAGCAGTTTGGCTCCAGAGTCTATGTGCTTTAGAGTGACAATAAATGAACTCCCCCTGCTCTGTGTTCCTTTGATGGCTTTGGGGACAGGAAGAAAACAATGTCATATGATCCATCAGGGAGATTTCTTGGGGGTGGGAATATTTTCCTCTGAGAATCATATGTTAAATCCACGTTCTACCCTGGGGAAGGATTTTTAAAGTTTTGATGTGATGGAAGCAACCAGAAAATAAAAAAATAAAGGTTGACTGTACAGAGATGTATAAAAAAATGCCTAACACAAAGGAAAAAACATCCAAATCACATTGCAACCAAATTATAAATAGAGAAAAGGCTGAAAACAAAAAGTACGGTTAATAACAGTTATTTTATGGAAGAACTCATCCAAACTGTTAGGAAAATACTAATAAATGATAAACACGCAGATAAGTCACAAAAAAAGAAAATGTACCTAAATGTGGGTTATATATTTACATTATGCAAATATAAAATTAAAATATAAAACAATTTATGTGTAGTTGCTAAAAAATTGCAAAATACTATAATGATACCCAGGGCTTGGGAACTCATAGTAAAACATTTAGCTTGAGGTGGTTTTAAAAAAGTACAATAGGCTAGGCTTGTGACTCAGTGGTAGAGCGCTTGCCTTGAAGTGTGAGGTACTGGGTTTGACCCTCAGCACCACATGAAAATAAATAAATAAAGGTATTTTGTCCATGTACAATTAAAAAAAATTTTTTTAAAGTGCAACAATTTTGCTTTTTTTCTTTGTCCTGTTGATCTTTTTTTTTAAATATTTATTTCTTAGTTGTAGGTGGACACAATATCTTTATTTTATTTTATGTGGTGCTGAGGATGGAACCCAGTGCCCCATACATGTCAGGCGAGCGTGCTACCACTGAGCCACATCCCCAGCCCCCTGTCCTGCTGATGCTAATCTTGGAAAGTTAACCTAAAGAAGAAAACCAGTAGATATATCAATTGATGTGACATGTCCCTCCTTTTCTGTCTGTGGGCTGCTCCTAACTCTGAGCCGGCCCCACACCCCAAGTTCTTGAAACTAAGTAATGGTTCTGACATCTGGACCAAGGGAACAGAGACCTGGTATTCTGGAGACCCCCTCCTCATTGACCTCAGTCCACAGTCTTCAGTATTTGTTTAATCCCATGATAATTACTGCGGGAATGACCTACATCTTAAAAAAAAGTATGTGGGTCAATAAACACATGAAAAGATGCTTAATGTCATTAGTCATCAGGGAAGTGCAAATCCTAATCCTAATGAGATACCTCATGTTCCTGGGATGGCTTTGAAAAGAAAAACAAAAGGAAAAGAAAATCACAATCACAAGTGTTGGTGAAGATGTGGTGAAATTAGAATCCTCCTGCATCCTGGTAGAAGAAGAGAATGGGGTAGCCACTATGGTCAAACAGTTTGGCAGTTTCTCCAAAGGTTGAACATAAAATCACCATGTGATTCCATGTATCATTTCAGAAGTAATTCTGCTCCTAGTTGTATGTATCTGTAGCTAGAGACAGAGATGTATGTTTAAGAGGGTTGAAGACACACAGCCACACAAAACTTACACAAATGTCCACAGCAGCACTAGTCACAATAGCCCAAACTGGAAACACCCAAATGTCCATCAATGGGTAATAAAAAGGGCTGGGGATACAGTTCAGTTATAGAGCACCTCTGGGTTTAATCTCCAGGACTGGGGGAGCAAAGAAGGCCTCATATTATATAATTCCATTTATGTGAAATGTTCATGACAGGCACATCTACAGAGACAGGAAACAGATGAGTGGGTGCCAGAGGTTTGGGGGAGGGGAGGGGAGGGAAAGGCTTCTTAATGTGAACAGGGATTCTTTTTAGGTCACAAAATGTTCTGAAATTACATGGTAGTGGTGGTTGTATAGCATTAAAAATGCTGATAATAATGAATTTTACGTGACATAAATTTTACCTCAAAAAAAAAAAAATAAAAATGGCTAACTGCTCCTGCTCTAAACCAGGTGCTGTGGTGGGAAGACCACCCTGTCACTTCTGACTATTAGAACAAGCCTTAGAGGGACTGAGGCTGGTTCAGTGTTAAGGACAGAGGCGTTGGGATCATTTGGGATGCCAGGGGTCCCCATGGCCAAAACCACCCAAAGGCCGGTAACCTTTGGACTGGCCCTGCCTGGGCTACTGCTGGGCTGTCCAGAATGCTCTAGAACAAGGACAACAGGCTTGGAGGCTGTAGCTGGACTTTGTTTAGCAGATGGCTTTCATTCTACCTGGGCCTAGCTCTGCCTCCTGACCAAGGTGACACAGTGGTCAATCTGGGATCAGATTCTGGTCTTCACTCTGGAGGTGTGGAGCCCTGTGAGCAGCCTACCTGGGGTAGGTCACAGGCCGCAACAGAATCCTTTACTTGGAGGCCAACACAAAAGCCCGATCTCATTTAAGTGGCATAGGCTGCTGTGCCCCTATCTCCCCCTCCCCCTCCCACCATTGCTATAGACTGACATCATCAGACACTAGCTGGAGGGCCCTGAAGATTCTAGTCTTAGGGACCAGGTAAAGGGCAGCCCAGTGAGGCCCTAGAGTTTGGGTTCATGTAGAATTGTGGTCAATTTCTGCAGCAATTATTCTTGACGCTCAACCCTGATTCTTTCGGTACTTTCCAATCCAGAACATTCTCTAAGGACGTGAGTACCCTACTGGAGGGCTTGGGGGCAATGCACCAGGAAGCATCTCCCGGGTAAGAGTGGGTGGGAACTGGAGGAGAAATAACTCAGCTTCCCCACACCCCGATGTGGTCTGATGCTGAGGTGTCTTCCAAGGGGTCTCTCTGAGAAGCCCACTGGGCTGGGACCCCAGTGTCTCAGTCTGGTGACTTGCTTGATGATATCACCTTTGCTGTTTGCTTTCCTCTCTGCCTCACTGTGCAATTCTCAAATTGCTTGGCCCCCAAATCCATGTTTCAGGGGCTGTTCAGGGAGAGCCCAGCCTAAGACCTAACCTTCCATTGGTCACTGTTATATGAACTTGGGAAGTCCTTTGGCCTCCTAGAACCTTTCAGAGGTATTGTATGTCAAGAGGCTGACCCAGGGAGGTGCTCAGTGATGTCTAGGTTATTTATCTAAGAAAAATTGAAGGGAAGGATTTGTTTTTTTATATATATTCCAGTCCTATTAACAGAAGCCAGATCACACTAGCAGTAGGATTTTTTTTTTTTTTTTGGCATTGAACCCAGGGCCGCTTAACCACTGAGCCTCATCCCCAGACCTTTTTATATTTTATTTAGAGACAGAGTCTCACTGAGTTGCTTAGGGCTTTGCTAAGTTGCCGAGGCTGGCTTTGAACTCGAGATCCTCCTGCCTCAGCCTCCCAAGCCACTGTGATTACAGGCATTCCCAACCATGTCCAGACCAGTGGAAGATTTTCCAAATCATGTAGAGATAGAAGCTTGATGCAAACTAGAAAAATGTGCTGGAAACGACATCTCCTTTCCATCCCTGTCCCGAGTCACAGGGCTACTTTTTGGTCAGTCTGAGGAGTTGGTGACGGGGTATGGTCAAGAGTGCCTAAAGAGTCAGATCACTTCTTTTGGGCGTTCACGTGGCCAGAACCACCCAAGCGAGGGTAACCTTTGGACTGGCCCTATCTGGGCTATTGATGGGTTTCCCAGAACTCTCTAGAACAAGGACAACAGGCCTGGGCCCTGTGGCTGGACCTCCCATTTGGCACATAGCCTTTGTCCTCTCTGGGCCAACTCTGCCTCTGTTGGCTGAGCTGCCACTAGACTGGCCTTGGGGCTGAGGGTAAGGGCTCTGTGACATTTCCCTGCTTCCTTGTCGGGCTGTGGAGTTGTTTGCTTTTGGTCCTGCGTGCTCTTTCCTCACACACAACTGACTGCTTTCCTTCTTAGACTGTGTGTGTGTGTGTGTGTGTGTGTGTGTGGTGGAGGGGGAGGGGTTGTCTGTAAAACAAAGAGGTAAATAAAATACCTCAGGCAGGCGGGTAGGCCTGTTTGATGCCAGCCTGGCACCTGTCCTGAGGATTCTGGGCAAAGCCCTGGCCCATGGAGGAGCCGAGCCTCCTAGAGGGTGTGGGGAGAGGTGTGGAGAGTGTCTCTGAGCCTGTGACCTTGGCACCGAGGCCATGGGTGACTCCTGTGTGAGGCTGGCTGGTTTGGGTGAGCTCTGGAGTTGCTGAGGCTGAGCCGCCTAGGCCCGCCTCCTGCCTCTCCACCACATTCTTTTCCTCAGACAAACAGATTCCTTTGCTCCCTGGACCGGCCAGGCTGCAGCAGCAGCTGTGGAAACAAACACCAGGCAGCTGACTGAAGGGTGCAGGCTGTTTTCTGGGGTGTGCTGGGCCCGCAACGCCCTCCAAGCCGCAGTGGGTGCCCTGGCTCAAACTAGAAGGGGAGGGTTCGCCTTGTCCCTTTGCTGCCAGTTTCAGATGGCTCTTGGCAGGCCTGGTGGGTTCAGCAGGGACTGGTTGTGACTCCCCTCAACCAAACCTCGAGAGAAAATATTTAGAGAAGGGCCCCTCTTTCCTCCTGAGCTCTGTTGGCTCTCAGGCCCCCTCAGAAGGGGTGAGACACTTTGGGGGGCCTGGGGTGGGGGTGGAGCCTCTTCTCAGGAGGCAGAGTAGGCTGCAGTAGGGCTGTGGGCCTTGTGGACAGCTTATTATGTCTCTGACTATATTCCTTAGGAACAGGTGAGCCATTTGTGCACTGGAGCTGGGAAAGACCCCTCAGAGGTGAGGAAACTGAGAGCCAGACACTGGCAGAAGCCCACAGCCCACTGGAATATTCTTCTTCTCCCCTTCTGGCGTGGAGCCACAGGCCTGGGTTGATACAGCACAGGGCTGTCAGCCTTGATATAGCCAGGTTGTCAGGTGCCGGCCGCTCTCCCCTCCATGATCAGCTGGCACCTTCCCTGTAGAAGGAGCAATGACAGTACCATGCTGTGTGAAAAGCAGAGGACGGGGGACACCCACCTTCAGAGACTTGAGTTTCCCCAAGTGATACTTCTGCAGCCATCAGTCACCAAGGGTGGGCAGCTCCCAGAGGACATGATTCCTGCCAGGTGGCTCTCAGTGGCTGAAGAAGAGCCTGAGAGCTGGGGGCTGGGCTACAGTTCTTCCCTTTAAGGACACCTGGGTGGCCCATCGCAGGGCCCACCACAGGGGTGAGGCCTGATACTGTTATTACCCAAAATTGTAAGCACTTTGAACACAGGAACATGGCTGCATGCTCCCCTGTCCCCTTGGTCCCCCACTGGTGCCCGACACCCATAGGTGCTCACGAATGATCTGTGGCATGATGGAGTCATCTGAAGCCTCAGTCACTGGTCTCCCTAGAAAGTATGCTGCATTTCCAAGTCACCAAGAGGATGGCCTTTCATAGATTCTTGGGGCTAGAAACGTTCCTTCATTTCCAATGAAGCAGAGATCATTTGGGGCTATAATTTCACAGGGATCCCCGAAGGATTCCAGAACACGGAGAAAGAGCAGCTATCTGTGTCCACCAAGGAAGTCGCTGCTCAGCTTTGGTCAAATTAGACCGCTTGAGTCCCTAGGGTTGCAAGTCAAGCGTTGTCCAGGGACAAAAGGTTTCCCACATTTCTTTGGTCCCTACTCAATGGATCAAAAGAGATGGGAAGAGCCAGGCACAGTGGCACACACCTGTAATCCCAGTGGCTTGGGAGGCTGAGGCAAGAGGATCACAAGTTCAAAGCCAGCCTTAGCAACTTAGTGAGGCCCCAAGCAACTCAGCGAGACCCTGTCCCTAAATAAAATGTAAAAAAAGGGCTGGGGATGGGGCTCAGTGGTTAAGCACCCCTGGGTTCAATCCCTAGTACCAAAAATAAACAATAAAAAACATAAAAAATAAAAAAGGGATGGGAGATGCGGTTCCTGTTGATTTGGGAGGACTGTGGGAAGATGACCTTGGGCTGCAGGAAGCAATCTGATCTCCCACTCTGGGATCTGGCCAGAGGGAAGAATGTTCCAGAAGTGACAGGGAAGGGGGTGTGTGTACCTGGGCCAGTGGAGTCAGTCCCTGGCTGTACTGGGAGGTCTGGGAGGACGCGGTTTGAGGAGGCATCAGACACTCATCTGGTAGGTGACATTGCTTCGTGAGCAGAGCTGCCCTTGGTTCCTTGAGGCTGGCCATGCTGCCTGGCAGGTCCTTGGTGTCCCTGCATGGGGATGGTAGAAAATGACCATAGTGACAGCTGCTGGGTGTGGACCAGGGTCCAGATGGGGGACATCCCAGACTCCTCAAGGATTCCAAGGCACCAGTGAGAACTGAGGGGAGGCCTGAGTGGCTGGGGTGATGGGGTTCAAGCCTCCTGAGCCCTGAGTTCTTGAACTTCAGACTCCAGTCAGAGAGGGCAGTCCACACCCCAGCAACCAGTCACTTCCCACTTCCACTGCGGAGACCTGGAAGTTTCCAGGGTGTCTTGTGATGGCGGTGGTGGGGGATGGAAAGGCTCTCCAAAGACCTGATTCCTCTCCCTGCATGATGCCCCATAAACCCTTGCAGTTCAAAATGTGGTCTGAAGACCAGCAGCCTGGGCATCTCCTGGGAGCTTGACAGGAATGCAGAATCTCGGGTACCAACCCCCCCCCCACTCCGCCGAGTCAGCATCTGCACTTTAACAAGCTCCCAGGGACCTGTGTGCACGTTCAAGTTTGAGAAGTGCTGGCGCAAGCTGTTATCCTTCCCGTGCGCCCAGCACCACTGAGTAGAAGAGAGGGGCAGAGGGTGGGGATCTGAGCAAGCCCCAGGATTTGTCTAAAGGGATCATTTAAGCAATGGCTTTGCACTTAGTGTACTGGATACAACTGAAATTTCCTCACTGCTTGAGAAAGACCGGACCAGCTGGAGATGGGGTGGAGAACTGGCACCGTCCTTGGCATGTTTCACTGTAGAGTGAGGGGACTGTGGGTCTGTTGTGCACAAGTGAAGACAGTGTGGCTCACAGAGGGACGTCACACAGTCAGTTAAGCACTAGAGGTGACATTAGAACCCTACTGCTTTCTCCCTCTCTCTCTTTTTCTTTTCAGTGCTTGCTGGGGATGGAACCCATGGCCACATGCATGCTAGGCAAATGCTCTGCCACTGAGCTCCATCCCCAGCCCCAGCCTTGACCTTGACTTTTCATTGCTGCTACTCAAAGTGTGTTTCGAGGGCTAATGCCAGTCCACAAACTGTTTGGCACATGTTCTCTAAGAACTAAACTCAGAAATTAGGATCAAGTGTTTGGAAGCTTTGACAACAAGATGACAGAGTATGTCTACCTCTCTTCAATCTCCCAATAAAAGTTTGGCCTTACAATTCAGGCCTTGTACTTCCTGTTCATTTCATTTTTTCTAGCAAATCATTTTAATTGTACTTTGTCAAAGTATCTGTGTGTGATGGATTGGAATTAATTAACACACATACACGTGTGCGTATGCACACAGGCATGCACACACATACACATCCACACCCCCACACACGAATGTTCCTCCATGTGAACCTAGTTTGAAAACACTGCTGGATGAGGGGCCATTTCAAGACAGGAGGAAAGAGAGTCGAAAACACTGGAAAACATCCAGGCTTGCCCCAGCCTGGGCAGTGAAAACGGGAGGGGCTGGGCTAACTTGCAAGGGGGGAGATCGCCCTTTATTTATGTCCCCAAATTTCCTAGATGCTGCTCTGTCACAGAGAAGTGTGTGTGTAGGGGCGTGGGCAGGTATTGGTGGGAGCCTGAGGCCAAGGCATTCCATCTCTGGGGTGAGGGGGCTCCAGTTTCTTCACCTGGAACTGGGTCACCTGCAACTGGGTCAGAGGCACAGTCCTTCCCAGTGCAGCTGCGGCAGATCTTTGCCAGCCTCCCGAACTGCAGGAGGACACTATCTTGGGCGTGAATGTGCCGGCCCCAGCAGCGCCTGGCCTTTCTTCTCTCCCCGCCCAACCTGGCGCATTCTCGTCTGGCAGAGGAACAAGCAATTTCTTTTTATGAGCCTGCAAACCTCCAGCCTCCCAGCCTCCCAACCTCCCAGCTGGCCGGGCGCCAGGCGGGGCCTGACACACAGGCCGACATCCCTACCCAGACCCGCGGCCCTGGCTGCTCTGAATTCTGGCGCGTCTGAGTCACCGCGCCTCAGCGGGCGTCTCCAGGAAAGAGTGGCAGAGGCTAAAGGAGCCGGGCCTCCTAGGGGCCTCCTGATAGCCATCTATCAGCACGTCTACATTTTGGCCTCCTTTTCCTGATGCCTCTAATCCAGCAGAGCAGGCTGCAGGAGTCCGATGGGGACCCGCTGAGCCGGGGAAGAAGTTCCATGGAAGTCCCCTTCCCCAAGGCGCCCTTGCGGGGTGTGGAAACCTCCCTCTGGCCTTCCCCACAGCGCGGCTGGTTTCAGTGCACGGTGGAGGAGGGCGGGAAAGGGAGGCTTTTTCCATACCATGTCGCCAGCGCATGGCTCCGGGATCCTCGGACCACCCGGTCTCTCCGAGACGCGCGCACGCCCGAGGCGCCCCGTCCACCTGCAGCCCCCGGGCGTCTGGAGGCGGCCTGTCAGATTAGCCCTGCGGCGGGCCCCCTGTTTAATGAGTGTGGCGCCTGGTGTGCGGCTCAGCCCCTGCTTGTTTAGACAGCCTTGCTGCCTGCGCCACGCGTCCCCGCACCCGGCCGAGGAGGGGCGGCCCCCGGAGAGAGCCTGTTCCTTTATTCTTTCCGAACCGAGCCTGGCTGCCTCCGCTCCCGACCAAAGGGTCTCGGCCAAGGTCTGCTGGGGTCTGGAGAGCCTTATTTCCTGAGGGACCGCGGCTGGCCTGGAGGGTGACTGGGGGTGGGGGACACTCGGAGAGGCCATCAGCAGGTTCCGCAGCCCCCGATCGCCCTCCAGCCGCGGAGAGCCGGTCCCATGGCCCGGCCTCCTTCCCTGGTATCCATCCTTTGATTGCTTTTCTGCGGGGCTGCAAAGGAAGGTGGAAGGCGGCTTTCGGTGGGCGCCGGCAGGGGCCCTTGTTAGCACAACAGTAGGGGACTGAGTGGCTTTCTTGAGACAGGAAACCTGTTGGATCTTGATTTCTCTGAGGTCTGAAAGCTGCGGCCAGCGGTGTCTTCTCCAGGCAGGGAATCCTAGGCTGTCCCCTGCCCGCCCCTCCCCCGGCTTCTTCTAGCTGCTGCCCCTTCCCCCAATATTTATACCCCACCCAGTGGCCAGAGAGACCTCTTTCATTTCTATTTCATGAAGTTCTGCTTTTGAAATAATTTCAGACTTGAAAGGTTGCAAAACTAGAGTCATGAATTCCCGTATCCCTTTTATCCACATTTCCCCAGTGCTGATATTCTTACCAGTTGGCAGGCAGGATCTCTCTGCCTGTTTGGTCTTTGTTTTGGTGCTGGGGATGGCACCCAGGGGTGCTTAGTCACTGAGCCACATCCCTAGCCCTTTTTCTTTTTTGAGACAGAGTCTTGCTGAGTTGCTTAGGGCCTTGCTATGTTGCTGAGGCTTGAACTCAGAATCCTCCTGCCTCAGCCTCTGGAGTTGTTGGGATTACAGGTGTGTGCCACTATGTCCCGTTCTGTCTCTCTCTCCACACACATTCTTACACACGTACATTTATGTCTTCCCTGAAATTTTTGAAGCTGTAGATACGATGCTCTTTTACCCTTTACCTTTAAATATTTCAGAATATATTTCCTAACAACAACAACAACATGACAATAACAATAACAAGGACATTCTCTTCAATAAACACAGAACTATTTATCAAAATCAGGATAGTAACACTGATACAATACTATGACCTCATCTATAGATCTTATTGCAATCTCATCAGTTGCCCCACAAATGTCCTTCATAACAAAAAAATTTTTTTTTCTGGTCCAGGATCCAATCCCGAATTGTACATTGTATTCAATTGTGTCCCTCCAATGTCCTTTAATCTGGCACAGTTCCTTAGTCTGTCCTTGCTTTTCACCGCATGAATACTTCTGAAGAGTACAGACTGCCTCAGAGTTTGGCTTTGTCTGACATTTCTGGTGACTAGATTCAGGTTCTGCATGTAAGATAGAAACGCTGCTCAACTGATGGTTGCCCTTGGTGCATGCTTATCAGGAGACACGTGATGTCCGCTTGTCCGGGTACTGGGGATGTTTACTTTGACCAGTCGGGTAAAGTCATGTCTCTCAGCTCTCTTCACTGCATTACTGTTTTCCCCTTATTATCTTCTGAGCAGAGCACTCTTTTAAAAAGGAGAACTCTGGCTGGCGCGGTGGCGCACACCTGTGATCCCAGTGGCTCCAGAGGCTGAGGCAGGAGAATCGCAGGTTCCAGGCCAGCCTCTGCAATTTAGCGAGGCCTTAAGCAACTTTGTGAGATCCTGTCTCAAAATAAAACATAAAAAGGGCTGGGGATGTGACTCAGTGGTGGGGAAGTGCCTCTGGGTTTAATCCCTGGTACTAAAAAAACAAAACAAAACAAAACAAAACAATAAATAAACAAAACAAAAAATATTAAAAGGGAGAACTCTGATTAGGTCACCTTCTCTTCCTGAGCCCAGTTGAAATCCCTGATTCTTATCGTGGCATGCCCAGCCCCATGATATTTTCTCCTATCATTCTCTTGGGAAACCCCTAGTCACACTGAGCTTCTTGTTCTTTTTTTTTGGGGGGGGGGTGGTACCAGGGATTGAACTCAGGGGCCACATCCCCAGCCCTATTTTGTATTTTATTTAGAGACAAGGTGTCACTGAGTTGCTTAGCGCCTCACCATTGCTGGGTTGGCTTCGAACTTGTGATCCCCCTGCCTCAGCCTCCCAAGGTGTTGAGATTACAGGTGTGCGACACACCGTGCCCAGCACCTTCTTGTTCTTTCTAGAGCATACCACACTCATTCATGCCTCAGAGTCTCTGTACTAGCTGGAATGCTTTTCCATCCAATGCTCACACGCCTGGCTTCTTTGTGCCCTGTAGACCTCAGCTTGCGGGTCACCCGAGAGAGTTCCCCACTTGCGCTTGCCTTGGTTCCAAGCATGGAACTTGCTACCATCTGTCATATGCTCATTTGTTTGCTTGTTGTCCATCTTGCCCAGAAGAAAGCAGGGACCCATGTGCCTTGTGTGGTGTGGCACCTGTGCGCAGGGCCTGGCTCACAGCTGTGTGGTAAATATCCATCTTGAGTTTGCTGAATGACTGCACGACCAAGCCTTGCTCCGTGGGACAAGCTGGGGTCCTAACCTGGAAGTCTTGGAGTCCTGCCAGATTGTTGATGTCGCCTGCAACCCAGTTCTACTGGGCTTGTGCTCAAATAGGGCAGATGGCAGCAGAGTACCTAAGGGCTTTCCGAATGGCCCACTTAAGGGTGAGAGAGGAAACAGCCAGGAGGCGACAGTGTCTTTGAGCCGTAAGTATAGATCCTCCTACCATCTTCTTCTTCTTCCATCCTTCCTTCCTCCCTTTCTTCCCTTCTTTTGTCTTTTATTCTTTAAATGAGTGGGGGGAGGGTAGAGGAGGGGGAAGTCAAACAGAAATATACTCAAGTTCAAAGTGCAAAGCAGGGAGAGACCTTTGGCTCTTGGTACAGAGCCTCAGCGATGCTCCTACAAGTTAGGTGTCTTGGATTGTCTCATCCTTCTCTTACTGCTGCTGGGCCTCAGGTTTTATTTCAAGCAACCCTTCTGGAAGCCAGCTTTGGTGGTGCACACCTGTAATCCCAGTGGCTCAGGCAGGAGGATTGAAAGTTTGAGGCCAGCCTCAGCAACTTAGCGAGACCCTAAGCAACTCAGTGAGACCCTATCTCTAAATAAAATAGAAAAAGGGCAGGAGATGGGGCTCAGTGGTTAAGCACCCCTGGGTTCAATCCCTGGTACAAAAAAAAGCAAGTCCTGGAAATTCCAGGACCCGTGTAGGTAATGCCACTGACTTTCATGGCATAGAGTGAGGCCCTGTCAGGTGGCCCCTACCAGGTGAATCTTTAGGTGGCAAAATGGGGAGTGTATTGTGTGGCATGTGGACCCCTGGTTGGGACTGTGGCCTGAAGTTCATCTTTGTGTGCACACGTGTGTGTGTGTGTGTGTGTATGTGCATGCACGTGCACACAAGCACAAACATGCACACGAGCATACATGTGCTCTCTAGTTAGAACTGCCAGGCGGGGGGCGGGGGGGCAGCTGGTTCTCTCCACCCTAACCTCTCCCTCTTTGGACACTTCATTCCACCAGCCTCTGCCCTCTTTAGCCCACCAGCCTAGGTGTGGCCCGGAACTCCTGTCTTCTCAGAAACCCACTGAAATGAGGTTGGAACTTTCCAGAAGCCTCTGTGGCAACTGAAGGCCCACGTAGGCTGGCTAGCAGGATGTGGGCAGAACAGGCAGCTGTTGCAATGATCTCTTGCTATATAACAACCATTCTAAAATCTGAAATGATGATAATGTTAATATTGCTTACAAATATACAATTTGGGCTGGGCTCAGCAGGACAGGTCTTCTCGGTTTCATTCACTGTCAGCTGGGAGCTGGGGACTGTGCTGTCTCCTGGTTGGTGCCAGTTGTTGGCTGGGACGTTAGCTAGATGGGTCAGTCAGACTCCCATACATGTCCTCTCCAAGTGGCTGCTTAACTTATTCAAAACATGGCAGATGGACCCCTAGACTGATTATCCTAAGAGAAAGCCAGATAGAAGCCATGATATCTTTTCTGGAGCAGCTTGGAAGTCACTCGGCATTATTCCTGCCATATTTCTGTTTGTTAGAAGCCAGTCACTGAGGCTGGCTTACATTCAAGTGGAAGGAAGTTTCATTTCATTTTTTTTCCGGGTGCTGGGGATTGAACTCAGGGACACTCAACCACTGAGCCACATCCCCAGCCTTTTTTTGCATTTTATTTAGAGACAGGGTCTCACTGAGTTGCTTAGAGCCTCACTTTTGCTGAGGCTGGCTTTGAATTCGTGATCCTCCTGCCCCAGCCTCCTGAGCTGCTGGGATTACAGGTGTGTGCTACGGCACTAGGCTTACATTTCATCTTTTTTTTTTTCCAGTACTGGGGATGGAACTCAGGATCTCACACATGCTAGGCGAGTGCTCTACCACTGATCCACACCGCCCCAGCTCAACATTTCATCTCTTCATAGGAGAAATATCAAAGAATGTATAGCCATGATTCAGACACACTCTGATGGCTCATAGCTTGCTTTCTGTTCACGTGGGACTTGAGAGTTGGGACCTTGTTCTCCCAATGCCTGATCTCTCTGTTCATTGGGTCGCCATCCTGTCACCTACCACTCAGCAGTGACTTTGCAGAATCCAGCCCAAGAGAGAAAGCCAGTTTTGCTTGAATCAGGTCAAACCAAGACACACCAGTACTTTATGAAGGGCAATAATTTGGTGCCTCTTCATATGGGCAGATTTCCTATCAGAACAGCATTTGACCATATGTGGCACAGAGATCTGAAAAGGCAGAGGTATCCTCTTTTGCATGTCTATTCCAGCTGGGTAGTGTATGGCTGACATGGAAGCTCTGCTTTATGGAGTCTGTTGGGATCCAGGCTCCTTGAATCCTACAGCTCTGACATCTTTGACTATGAGGTGACCTGGAGACCAGTCAGCATGTCCATAGTGTGGCCAGAAGAAAGGAAGAAAGGACCAAGAAGCAGCAGCAGAAGGTGTCCACAACTATTTGGCAAGGAAAGTACCCAGGACTATCACGTGATACTTCTGACTCCATCTCATTGGCCAGAATTTCTCCATGTGGCCACTGCCGCCTGGGGAAGGCTGGGAAATGTAGTCTTCATTCTGGGTGGCCTTGTGTCAAGCTCAAGTTGCTGATTTTCTTAGCGTGGAAAAAGGAGAGAAAGGATACTCTAAGTGGAGGAGAGGGCTCTGCCAAACTTATTAATTTAAAAACCTCATGTGCAGACAGATTTACTTACTGGTCTA